AATAATAATAATAATAATAATAATAATAATGATAAAATTAATAATAAAAAGATTAATTGGATGAATAAGTAATACTGTAAATCATAAATAATAGAATGGTAAAATAATATACATTAATCGCAATATTAGCATGATAAGACTTCCAACTTGGCCTTTTTCCCGAACTTGATCTTGATCCCGAACTTGACCTAGAATATCTGGACGCACCTTTCTTTGACTTTACGCTAGTCACAGGAGTGGAATGAGAATCTTTTATATCAAAACAACAAATAACCAAAATTAATTAGTTAAAAGTATAAAAACAATACACTTTTAAGAGATGTGATATCAGATATGTGATGCAATACGTAATGTACAGTACGCCAATTTTTATATGAGAATTATATTGACCAATCAGATCGTTAGAAAAGAATATAGAAAAAAGGCTATACGTAAAGTACGCGAAAAAAAAAAAAAAACATCTCTTAAAATATATACATACCCACGGAACCCATTTTACGCCAAATATCTTTAAGAGATTGAAAATCTTGAGTAGATTTATTCGGAGTCTTTTTTTCATCAGAATTTGTACTTGCAACCTCAGAAGTAGACGCGACTATTAAGAATAGAACAAAAAAAGTTTTTTAAGAAATTCCAATAACAAGAAGTTCATACAATAGTTTGAAAAAAAAAAAAAACGTATATATACTTACCTTTACTTTTCGAAGCTTGAGCTTTGTTAAGAAGATCAGCCATTCTTTGCTGAAAGTTGTCCATTTTTTAATAGAATTTCAAAGTATATATGCCTCAGAGATAAACTTTAGAGCCAGCTATTTTATTTGAGAAAAAAAAGCTTGACTCTTTTATGTGAAATTCGTAATGGACTTTTTACGTAAAGGTCTTTGAAAGGTAAAAGGCAGTCAACCTAATTAGATTAACCTAAAAAATTTTTTTATACCAAAGATACAGGTAAACAACAACCTAGACTAAATTATATCACATGATTTACATCATGCATGTGTTACAGTACGTGTTGAGAAATAGATCTTATATATCTGATACATTTGATATCAATCTGGCGTAGAGAAGTATTAATTTGAAAGATTTATTTTGTACAAAATGAAGTTTTCTAAAATGTGTTTATATATTACATAGATGAACAAATAGTTCGTGCAAGAAAGATTTTTTTTTTTTTTTTAAATACCAACCGACCGACCGACCAACCAACCAAAAAAATATATAATAATAAATTTTACAAAAATCCCATAAGTCCATCATTTTCAATTTCATCATTAGTATTTTCTTTTGCATTATTAACATACATAATACTTGTAAATAATGACATAAATATTAATGAACCAATAAAAGTAATTACAAAAAAATTAAATTTTCCATTCTCTACAATAGCAATTTTCTTTTCCAACATTTTTTGAAATCGAAAATAATTTATAATAGACCATAAAAGAACAAATAATCCAGTAAATATTAATAAGATACCTAATGGATTTGGATTTTCATAAATTGGAGTTACAGTTGATTGAGGAATTAAACGAAATCGAAAACATAATGAAAGTCCTGTTAATATTAAAGCTGTACTTGTACGCAACCATGATAAAAAATTTCTTTCAAGTGCTAAAAAAAAAAAAAATGAATAATAATAATAATAATAATAATAATAAATTTTTTTAGTATTATTATTTTCCAAAAAAGAAATTTAAATAAAAATAAATTATATAATGATAAAAATATATATACCGAAATTATCACGTGCGGTACTTCCATCGTTCTTTACGACCAAAGTAGTAGAACAATAATTAATAGTGGGAATTATAGAACTTCGTTCACCACATTCAAGTTTACTATCACGTAAAGATTTTTGAACATTCTCAATTTCTGTGGTGATAGATGATGAATCCGAAATTGTACCATATGTACGAAAAGTATTATTATTATTATTATTATTATTATTAAGTAATAAAGAGTTGGTGTCTTTTTGAACAGGATTCATATTTTCAAATATATATATAATTCGAAAGAAATGCGCGAAAATTAATGTATATTTATTGAGAGTTAACTGGTAGTAAATCCATTCAAAAGAAAGAAAAAAAATAAAATAAAATGATTTAAAATGAAAAATGAGAATGAAATTTTTGTTTTTTTTTTTAAAAAAAAAAAGACAGGAATATGGGAGGTTACGTATTTTCTAATTTTTATTTATATAAAAAAAAAATATTATGAAGACTTTCGTTAAAATAAAAATATTGTGTGACTGATCTAACATCAAAATATGCACCAATATATTTGCTGTGTCAGCAGTCTTTTTTTTAAAAGGTCTAGTCAATTTATTATTTTTTAAAAAGATAAATATCATCATAAAAGTAATTGATAAATGTATTTTCATGTGTGTAATATTTATTTGTAAAATTAAAAGGTAGAATTTTTTTTATCATAAACGATAAAATAAGGATGAAAGACTCGGAAGTAAATGGCAACAAAAACATTTATCAAAAACAATTATGCACGATAAAAGGTTACAAAATCTTTGTTTTTCTGCAATATGTATGAGTTGATAAGTGCATGCATATTGTGTTCAAAAGAATAAATCACGTTTTTTATATATAATATTTCATTTCAAGTTAAATATTTAATATTTTAGTAAAAATATTTAATATTTTAGTAAATATGTAAAGTTAGAAAAATGACGATTTTCACTTTTTTGGATTAAATATTTTTCTCTACAAGAATCAACAAAAAATTGCTCAGTCAAAATAATAAACATGTTGTACCTTTACAATCTCTCCAATTTAAGTTATTTTGTAACACTATTACTTTATTAACGCAACAACTTATGCCCACGGGGACAAATAAATATGTTAGTTGATTAAACAAAAAATCAAGTTGTAGCCCGAAAATTTTATTATTCAAAAAAATTATTAATCTAATTTAGTACGTATTATTGATTAGGTTTTGGGTGAATTTTTGACATTTATTATTTGATGTGTTAAAAGATAACGTTTTTCATTTTTTTTTCATTTTTTTTGTTATCCGTAAAGATCCTCATGATCTGTATAATTCTGCATAATTATTCATAATGCTGGTCATTTCCAGAAATTTTAAACTGCATCTTAGATGTTGTGAAAATTTTATACAGATTATATAGATTGTAGATACGGCATTTAGCGTTAGATATTGATATATCTCAATAATACTTACGTAATAGTACTTAATAGTACGTACTGTATGAATACGTATCGAATATGCACTTGAAGTATTTAAAGTATGGAAATTTAATAACTATAATTTAAATAATATATACGTACTTTATACTTTTTTATCCCAATTAAGTAAGATTTTTAAAAAGGAAGATTCTACGAATTTTCACCTGTGTTAATAATCGCCCATATGCCATTTTCATAGGAGTGCCGCCAAAGGAAAAATTATACGTATATATATATATTATTAATATTAACTATACTGTATATTTTTGAAGATTTCTCAATAATAGTCTAATCACCTCACAATGTTTAATACCATTTTCGAATTATACTAGTTTTTGTATATTGAAAATGAATATAATATTATCTGAAATATCTTCGCTCAAAGTTTTCAATACTGCTTGTTAAAAAATTATAAGAAATAGTATACTAATGGATATTCTTACAAAAGAATCGAAATGTAATGAAATTCTTACTTTTTAAATGGAATTTTTATTTTAAAAAAAAAAATTTCCCGTATGATACACAAAATTTGGGGTGTGTATAATAGCCGCCAGGGTTGGCACATTTATCCGTTGGGGTTAATGGAGAACAACTCTATTGATATCACTCCATTGCTCCATTGAGAATAATTTGAGAATGTAGCCAATGGAGACCAACTAAATTTTAATATAGTATTTGTTAATAATTAATAACCAACTCCATTGGCTCCGTTGGCTCCATTAGCTCCATTGGTTCTATTGGCTAGCAATTTTTTCAATAGAGTATATCCATTGCAGCATAATCAACAATTGTATTTGATTGGTCAATTGCTTCTTAGCTATAAATGAAACTGCTTATAAAACTGCATTAATACTTATGAATCACTATTTTTTTTTAACGATTTCAATTATCGATTCCATCATATCACTTAATAATCACATCAAAAATTTTTGCCCATACGAGCAATTTGAAAAGCTCTATAACTTTATAATATATCGCCAATCAATAAGTTCAAGTTATAAACTTAAATTTCTGAGGTATTATTTTTCCCTTGGCGGCACTATACTTTTAGTCACATGACTGATACTTTATCGTGTGATTTTTTGTGAATGTAATAAAAAAATGATTCAGTTACGATGTTTATAAAAGGATAGTATAAAAGATATCATACACATAACATGCATAACTTTACTGACAGAATTGTTAAAAAAAAATTTTTTTTTTTTTTTTTTTTATATATAAGTTTAGAATAAAAAAATACTATGTAAAATTTTGAATGAAAAAATAAGTGCTTTTGCTCAATTGAACTCAAAGTTATACGTATAATTCTTTTTATGCATGTAAAGCACGAATGTAAAATAAATAATATAAAAAAAAGCATTCTAATTTCGACGCACTTCTATGTAGTATATAATGACAAAGAACTTCTTTTTTTCTATTTCGAATTCTAGATTTGGCATTAATATTCAATTTAAACCTATTTTTGGAATTTACAATGCGTTTCAAAGGTCAATGCCAAAATACTTTGACAATAGTTTTACCTTAAGTATAGATGCTATAAAATAATAATAATAATAATAATAATAAAATTCTTTCAATCAAAGAGGAACAAATAAATTTGAAATTGATCTAAATCATATGATCTAGGACCGAAGATATGTATGACAATGAATTGAATGTTATCTATGTTATCGATATCATTACGATAAATAAAGTAAAAAACAGCTAGTAGGATATCCAAATTTATGCGATTTCAGAGATTATTCATTGTTTAAAAATACAATGGTACAAATCCTCTAGTGGCTAGCACTAACACTTTGATAATATTTTAAGTTAGTCTTAATAAACTCTTAAAAATAATCAAAAAAAAAATTCGGATTTGGAATCTTTGTTGACTGAGTTGACATTAATAAAAATTTATTTCAATTGTTATACGTATCAAAATTTTACTACGTAATATTCACGTTTCTAATATTTTTATTATAATGATAAATCAAAATCCTGATTGCCCTATAAAAACTTTATTTGAATTTTTGTCATTTACAAACAATAACGATAACTACAATTCATCTCCTTAAATATCTATAATCAGCAATGGATAAAGGAATAAAAATAGAATGAATTGCTCTTAAAATTACTCTCAATAAACTTATAATCGACTTATAATCGGCTTACAATTGAACTTAACTAATGATCTTATAGTTAATTCGACTAAGTCGATCTCTGATCAACCTAAAATCACTACTGTGAATAACTCTTATTTAAAAAAAAAAAAAAAAAAAAACCTGTATAATTTGAATAGTTCCCAGGGAATATTGAATGAAGATGAGATACTATACAAGGTAAATATACGATGGATTTTGATATTAGATTAGATTTTGTCAAAATATACTGGTTTGTAGATTAATCTATATCAAGTACCATATCATTACTTAAACTAATTGAACTAATTATTTTGTTAGTAAAGATCATCTTAACGTAAATGTATTAAGTATATAAATTTTATTTTTAGGAAAAAATTTTAACACCGCACCGGTTAAAAGTCATAAAATACTCTTAGTTATTTCAGTCATATTTTAGGGTTGGAAAATTACTACGTACGTATTATTTTATGTTATTAAATCAAAATTTTCATATAATAATTACTTTGGTATTTGATTGGTCAGATCACATGACAAGTTCGCAATATTTTAGTGAAATGTAGTTCTTTAAGTATTATATAAATTTCAAGACTTAAAATATTATATATGTGCAAACTTTAATAATAAAAAATTTTTCGTTAGAGCTTCAAAGATAGTTTCATAGATAAAAATTTTATAATACTATATTAATATTTTTTTTAAAAATAAAATAAAAATAAAATTTTATATCATATTTAATCTTAAATTTTAATTAGCTATTTTAATAGCTTTGTATAATACAATATTTTGTATACTTTTATGTAAGTATTTAGCCATTTTCATGCATATTATTGGGTCACTTCTAATTATACATGAAAGTCGAAATTAGGGTTGATTTTCGACAGACGGTCTGGCGAAATTTTTTGGGTATTTTCTCCATGATGTTTCAAAACGTCATGTGCCGAAATTTTTTTTGATTGCCTATATTATTATAGACTACCTATATTATTATTGCTGCTTATATTATAGACTGTTAACATTTTCTTATATACTATTTGAAATATTATTCTGTTATTAGCCGATTTATAGTACCTGATGATCTGAGTCATCAGATGATTACCATGACAATGATAAAATGTCTAACTACACTACGTATTAAAATTTAAATGTATGTTTGCTTTTTGTTAATTTTGGATGACTAATAAGATTTTTATAAAACACCTATTTTGTTTTATATCTATAGATACGATATTTAAAAATTAGTAAATTAACTAACTCTTCCTATAATTAAATATAGTAAAAAAAATAAATGCAAAACTAATTATTGGTGTATTTTATACAGTATTTTTGATCTGTTCAGTTTATAATAATCTGATTGGCTAGTTACAGATTATTAATCTTAGTATAACTCAAAGCATGAACATAAGAATATGCTAGTTAGAAACTATGAATATATACAAATATATAATATGTATATAAAATATGATTGATTTTTGCTAAATTTAGATTATTATATGATATATTATATACATATTTTAAGTGAATAATATTAGCATATTACTTATCATTTTATGTATGTTATATCACAATTTTTATTGTTTTTTTTTTTTTAAAAAGTAACTTTCTTTGCTAATTAGATTTTATTAATTTGTTATTACTAAGTTATCATAGTAGTAATCTCTTAGAATTTTACAGTTACATAATGAGTATACAACAAATTACATATACAACTTTAGTTATTGTCTAATTTAAGTAGTCCACTATACAGATGAT